GTGTTATTCACCATATTGCAGGGTATATACTGAGGTCACATCCGATAGCATGGCTCTGCATTGTGTGCGTTTAAGCCCAAAGAATGCTCAACAGCGTTTGTCGCAATAGACGCAAGACCACAGCTGAATTGTCCGTCAGACCACCTAAAGACAGCTTTTCAGCCGAATCACATATCGTAACAAGCGACAAAAACAGGCCACAAACAAATGTAGAGTGTGTTGCATTTGAAGGGCATGCAACGGGATTCCGGAGACTCGGATGCAAGCCAAGTTTCTGTAAACCGACATTCAACGGGTTTTGAGATGCTATTGGCTATTGAGTAACTGTTTTTAACCGACAATAGCTCGGTTTTATGCTACACACGTCGTCTATCTGGTGGTTTGTGTAGAAGTTGGGCATGTGGCTGTTGCATACCCTAGCTGTCAATGGTAGGGTTTTTCACGAAGGAAGTCACCTAGCGCTTCTGTTTTGTGGTTGTCTGCAAGGATGAGTCTGGTAACATCTGCATCGACAGGCTTCTCATCAGCAAAGGTTTGAAAACCATCTTATTTCATAATAGCTGAAGCTTGGGTGTTGTTTCATACTGTTTTTACACATGACGCTATTCTTTCACGTAATGAATGTGGAGATACGGTAAGTGCACGCCTTACGGATTCATAATACTAATTTATGTCAGCGGGTTGACTTGCGGCAGTCTTTTTTCAAACCGAAATGTCACTGAGTCATGAGTTTATACGAAGATGAGGAGATTGGCCCAATTTTCGGGAAGTCGCGTTTGTTCTCTCGTTTAGCGGATTCCGTTCACCTCAAAGGCACAACCGAAAACGGTTGTAACACTTATATTATTTCTCGGCATAGGGCAGTGAACTTCTTAGCTCGGGGAATCGCATAAAAGGCTTCTTAAAGTGTTTTGAACGGGATAATAGGTACAGCGTGAAAAGTCATCGGAGAAAATCTATTTCACGCACCAAGCAATCCGAAATCAGAAATAATGTTGCCCATTGAATGTGTGCGCTCCCAGCTCAAAAAGGTCAGCGACGCAGGCGTCGGACAAAATTCGCTACCACTTTTATCCATTACAGAAGGCAGATTCGGTAGCTCAGCGCAAGGCAGAGAAAGATTTGGTGGCAGGGCAGTCAAATTGTGGTTATCTACCCTTTGGTCTGTTGCACTGTATGTTGGAGGAGGTGCAGAATAGACGGACATGGTATAGAAATAATTGTTTGAAATGTAAGACTGGGTATGAACCGAAAATATCGACCATGTAGGATGATTTTGCATGGGCGGAAAAGGCGAAATGAGGAACGAATTATGATAAGTCATGGTCAGTCGAACACTTAAAGGATGAAGGCGTTATGCCCATGTTTTTCACTTCGATATGGGTTTAAGAGTATTTGTTCCTGCGTTATGAGTATAGTAGATCTTGGAGCCTCCAGCTAGAGCACCATTATTCAGAAAGACAGCAGATGGCAATAAGAGGGGCTTCCCTAGTAGCTTATCCATTCGGATATTGCAGACATTATTGTCGAAATGAAGTTGAGTGACAATATGTTGACACGAACGAATAGTTGGATGAGGCACAAACAGGTATGACTGAAAAGGTGAGTGGCTATCAGCACTTTCTTTGTGTCGGAGATGTGGAGGTTCTTGTTTATTCTCCCTGTGAATCAGTGGTGAGCAGCGGTAATTGCTCTTGCTTTCTGACTCATCATGAGTAACGTGACTACACCTGTTTATCATGACGCCTTGTTGTTTCCTTGCTTTTCGTTTTCCCACTTTTTCGTTCCTACTTAAGGTCTGCTTATTCTTCGGTAACCGAAGTCCGCATTCTGTTGCCCGTTTGTCATTGCTTACAAGTTCATCTCGGTTGCACCTGTTTTCGAGCGTCCAGTCCGACGGAAAATTGGACCGACCGGGTGTCGAATCCAGAGTTTCCGGAGGGTAGGCGAAAGCGCCATCCACTGCACCAACCTGACACCCTGGACGTTTTATTATTTCGTATCACCCATGTACCGCACCTGCCAGATAGCCGCCGGCGAGATTTGTTTTAAACGGACGACACCGCACAATCTGACTTGTAACGCGACACGAGCTGCCGCGTCGCAGCGTTGACCCTCACATCCCTCACATCCAAAACTTGCTGGTTTCCACGCCGTTATCTCGCTATACTTTAACTCACACTGTCAGACTGCACCCACATAAATCCGTGCTACGTCAGTGACTATCTTCCGCTCCTTCTGATTGCGTCATTATTCATTGTACGTTTGCTTATTTTATGATGCTTACCAATCCGTTTGTCCGTAGAACCATTTCCTGTCAGTCCTCAATGCATCATCTACTGCCCAGGTCTGTCTGATTCCACTGTGTACTGCCTACGAACTGCATAGAATCTGATAGCCGCAATCGTCCTGTGAGATCCATAGCCGCCCGGATCTTACTGATTGCGTCTTAGTCACCGCACGTTTGCTTATTTTATGATGCTTACCAATCCGTTTGTCCGTAGAACTATTTCCTGTCAAGCCTCAATACATCACCTTCTGCCCAAGTCTGCCCACTGCTAATGTCTACTGGCTACAAACTGCGAACAGTCTAATAGCCGCAATCGGCCTGTGAGATACGCAACCGCCAGGACCTTACAGCTCTCTTATAAGTTCCACGATGCTGCGATCACAAAGGGGTCGATTTACAAAAGCAACGACCGGAGCTGATAATCCGCCACCACAGAGGAACCCGTGGTTGATGAGCCTGGAGCTGAGGTTGAGCATGGGATGCTTACAAGTTGTGATGAAGACGATGGAGCTACCGAGTCTGTTGAGCTGTACCAGTGTTGAGAAGCACAAATGGAGTGGACTAAAACTTGTGTTCTAAATGAGCAGATATGTCACCAAGTACCCACTCACCCAATCACACACTCACTCACACACTCACTCACTCACTCACTCACTCACTCACACGATCAGCACTATGACATGCCCATTGGTGCACGTTTGATGGTGCATGAGGACCGTGGATCAGGTTCATACCACTTGATCTTACGGCTGACTTGTATACACATTTTTCTAGCATTGAATTCGCTGAGTCCAAAACTGTGTATGCCCAGTGGATCTCGCTATTGAATTATCGGCGCCCACACTGTTCCTTCATTATTGCCAACGGGAATACCTGAGCTAATAGCAGGTTTACCCTTAGGACAGTAAGACTACAGCTCCAACATGGGCACCGACGGGGCTTTGCGGACAGCGGAATTTGCCAAGCGCCCGGTGAGCTAGCCCCTTTTTTATAAATGTCTTCAGTGATATTGCGAAAGATATACATGAATTGCAATAATAATATTGTTTATTAACAACTACTGGGTGGCATACCTTTAGGCATGAACACACCGTTATATTCAGAGCAAGAGCATGACCGGTGGGGTTTGCGGCACTGAGACTTTCGTGGAAAAGGGACGTGGACATAAGTAGTGTGTGTTATCCGAATTGGCCTTGGTCATGTATGAGGTGACATGGGTAGGGAACCAAAACTGCAAGGGCACTTCCTTTCTTTTGGGGAAAATATCAGAAGAGACGCCGCTGGCTATTCGCACAATGAGATTGATTTCTCGAAATCTACGGCATTTTCAGACTTGCCACTTCATAGTGTAGAATGTCTATGTATAAGGTACATGCTCCTGTATTATGGAAAATCCTTTACTATGGCGATTTGTTTAAGTGAACTAAATCTGCAGGTGAATAAACACCGCCGACTTTGAATAGCTTAACGGATGAAAAAATCGCGAATTGTGGAAAAGGTTGACTCACATACAACGAACGTAACTTTCAGGTATTTTTGCACCGGAACAGACTTCCTCAACATTCTAGAATCTAAATGGCCTTTGGAGATGCAACTTATGCGCAGGCGCATTCGTGCAAACAACTTTTGGCCGATGATTCCTTGTTGCCAGTGGTGCACGCTAATTATTTGCTAAACATCGTGAACGTTGACTGGCAACTTACAGAGTTTTTCATTACCGAAAGATATACATGAATTGCAATAATAATATTGTTTATTAACAACTGCTGGGTGGCATACCTTTAGGCATGAACACACCGTTATATTCAGAGCAAGAGCATGACCGGTGGGGTTTGCGGCACTGAGACCTTCGTGGAAAAGGGACGTGGACATAAGTGGTGTGTGTTATCCGAATTGGCCTTGATCATGTATGAGGTGACAAGGGTAGGGAACCAAAACTGCAGGGGCTCTTCCTTTCTTGTGAGGAACATATCAGAAGAGACAAAATACTTTCGTTAAGATTTGAAAGGGGCGGGTAAAAACAATAATAGGGAGGGGATTACGAGAGGCTTCCTACCTAGCACGTGATACAAGACTTCAAACCGCAAAATACGCAGAACCAGAGTAACGGCTCTGGAGGGGTAGGAGAACAGTCACGATCTGACCGGCGAATTTGAACTGAAACCTAAAGCCGTCACTGCGATTTCGTGGCCTTGGGCTGTTGGGCTTACGGCCAGGGTCGCGAAAAACCGTTAACGGGGATGGTGAAGAGGGGAAGAATGCAGTACGGATAACTGGTGGTAGGAAACTCAGAATCACATTGTGGAGTGAAACTGGAGGGAATCACTAGTGTTGCTGCTGGAGCGTGGTTGGGTGTAAAATTTCCTTGGGAGGTGTTCACGAAAACGCAAGGAATAAAAGCGAACTGCAGGGAAAATCACTCGCTTGGTGAGGAGCACAGAGTAAAAGACACCAATATGATTTTATCTAATGGAATATTCGACACATCGGAATGAACGCCCCCCCGGAGGCGGCGGGGGCCATCATCATCATCAATGACAGCAACATCAGTGTTGGCACTGATGCTTCACTGTCGTACAACCATAAAGTTCGTTTAGTTATATATATGTATCTATATAATTGTATTAAAAGCCCTACAGTGAAGAGAAGAGAAAAAGAGTGGGTGAGGGAGGGGATCTATTGCTGGCTTATGTCGAGCATACTGAGGGGCCTACGCCTCCAACCGCCCAATCAGACAAACTGGAAAGAAATTGACAGCACGAACGCCACTGACATCGATTAGCCGCCATTCCTTGCAACGTCTCCAGCCAAGCACAGACGAGGTCACGGGGACACCAACCTGGAAGCCTCACAACACCAACAACACCCAAACTCTTCGTGATCTCTTTCACGCCTTTTTGCCAAGTCATGTGCTGTCCACCTCGCGGTTTGCGCCATCCTGAAGGAGGCACGGAGAA